TTGGTCACCCACAGCATATCGAGGCACGATTTGTTTTGATCCAGCCTTCACAGGCCTTTACCATGATCTCCTGCACATTGGCCGTTCTAATCTAGGCTTTGCATTCTGCACGAAGAATTCCATACAAAGTGTAAGATTTATACGTTTTCCGTAGAAATTGAATTTTCAGACAACATTTCAAATTAAAGAAAGGGTTTGCTCCCTGTACAAACAGAGCAAATTTGTTTGGACGACACTCACCAGAAAAAATTAATTCATCTACCGTAGTTTACCGAAGTCATTAACCTAGTTTGCATGGGTTGTGGACCAGATATGAGATATCAATGTACGACACGCCAAGTATCTTACTTCGGACACAAACAGAAATCACGTGAAAGCAATACACCATTTTATGTCAAAATTGAGAAAAGCCACGAATAAAATTGAGAGCTGCCAAAGACGTATTGAGAATACCTGTCATCCCTTATGGTATACTTCCTCTGGTCGGAAATGATCACGCGAAACCGACAATTTGACCAATTGCTTCATCTTTATTTAACCATCGCAGCATCTGATTGGACAAAACAAAAGTCCCGCATCTCCTCTTTTTCTAGTCACCAGTTTTGTGCCGAACGAACTACTGTAGCCTCTGCCATTTCATTTTTAGCTCTTAAGGTCTTCCGCCTCGCCTGGAGTGCGACCCGCCACGCCTGCGCTACGCTGCTTCTCCCTCTTCAAGCATGCCAAAGTCCAACCTTACCGACACCGGGCGCAAAACCGTCATTGACGAGCTTCTAAAGATCAGCAACAATGAAGAAGTACCCCGTGGAGCGTTTGCTAAAGTTGGTGTTCTTATGAGCCGACATCCGGACACCGTGAGGTTAATTTGGAAGCGGTACAGCTCTGCAGTGACCGCTGGTGTCGTGAGGGGGGGGGTGCGTGGTTTAGCCGGATTAAGAAGAACAGCGGCAGAAAGCGGAAGAATCGAGACGAATTACATGACAAACTGAAGTGTGTTCCTATCGAGGATACAGCGGTTGAAAGGCGTGTGCCGGAGGGCTCTGGTCTCTCCAGGCATCTGATAAGACAGGCAGTAAAAGAAGGGGTTGTAACGCGACGAAACTAGGTTTATCAAGCCGGCACTAACGAATGATAACAAGATACGGCGGG